GATGAGACACTCAGTGTTAATGCTCAGGTGTACGTGAGTGATTATTTCTCTCAAGAGATGCCAAGGGGAAAAGTTTCTTCAATGTATATTAGTATAGGAACTTCGTTTAGTGAAGAAAATATAGGTTATAGTAAAGTCATTTGTTCCAACAACTGCAGTGTTACACAGATATGAACCATCAACTATGCTATGACTTTACTCATTCACCACCTACATATCTTGGTGGTTTGATACCGTAACTTGAGCTCTCTCGCTCACTGCCTGGTCAGGTATTGCCTGTTTGGCTGAGGAAAGCAGGTAGCAATTTGGTTTTCTAGATGTTCCAGGCTGGTGAATTTATGTTACAGCTCCAGCTTCAGCAGCCAATAGGCCCAGGCTCCACTTCTAGCACGGACTGCAGTTTCCTGGTGCTCTGTCTATGTTTGAGTCTGCTCCATGTTGCTGGCTTAGTAGCTATGAACAGTTTGCAGTGTGCAAGGGCCAATCCTTGCAAGGTCTGTGTTACAGAGCCATGATTGCCTGATGGAAGGGGGAATGCTCGTTAGGCTGATTCAGACCCACTTGTTTCAGGGCATGTGCTTTCTGAGTGCTTGTGGGCTGGAGTGACATCAGGATGCTGCTGCTCAGAACTTGGTGGCTTGTATCCTCCACTGCGTGAGGCTGAGATGAAACCACACGTCACGAAGTCACTGGCTTATTAATGCCTGTGGAGGAGGGCTGAATTCTGCACTCACACTGCCTGTATAAATTGGATTGATTGGATTATTATGAATTGAAAAAAGGCTATGTAATCACGGTAACCTTCTAATTTAAAGCATGCAAACATTAATGGGAAAAGCAGTACAGGATTAATGTCAGTTATTACCATACCCCCAAGCAGAAGCCTCTGTGTGCAGATCAGCATCACACTGTGATGATCAGAAAGCCTGTTCTACTACAGGGGTGAAAAGTTCAAGCCTCTGATCAATAAGCCCAGGGAGTCAGGCAGGAAATTCAGCTGTACTCATACTCATGTGGAGGTGGGGGGGGGTTGTTTTTGTTTTGGTTTGCTTTTATTTGTTTTGTGGGGGTTCTGTTGTTTGGATTTTTTGTGAGCTTCTCTATGCTAATAAAATCTATGCTTTCTGCTAGAGATACAAAAGGATGGGAAAAGAAATGAGACGTTGGGGAAGGGTCAAGAGAGTCAAGATTCATGGTTGCATATTAAGTCAGTACTTTATGGATTCTGGCAGGAGTGTAGTTCACTGCAGCTCAGTGAAGCATGGAAGGATTCACATCGCTGTTAGTTCATATGTCAGGCAATTAATCTTAACCCACTCTTACTCATATATGTTGTCTGTTCTATTATAGAGTATGTGTGTTTCAGAGAACTCCCTGAAGATACTGAACTACATAAAAAAAATCCCACTTAGCTGTACAGTAGTCTGTGCTGCAACATACAGAATTTCCCTATCTTTAAATTATATATATGTGTGTGTGTGTGTGTGTGTGTGTATGCTAATTATTGGTTAATGCTGACATTTTTATAGTGGTTGTTACAGTTTTATGAGTAATTTGGTGTGGAATGTCTATATATTGTAAAAAAACTCAAACCTTTTAAGCTCTAAATAATTTAAGATTTAAAGCTATCACAATTTTCCCAAGGATTTCAAACCTGTGACAGGGTAATGCAGTTCTACAGCAATTCAGTTTCTGCTTGCTTGAACAGGCTGTAGTAAAGAGGAAAGGATTGCCTTGAGGCAACTTGTGGTAATAGCTTGGAATAGAGAAGGATCTCAGATGTTTCCTGAGACTGGTGAAATTCAATTCTGTTTTTGTATCAAATGACAGAGTTTGGAAAGAAAAGTCTGATCTTCACATAATGTACAATATCTCTAGTTGTGAAGTCCAGCTGCTTCTTGCATATGTATTTTTTTCACTATGGAAGAACTATCTTAGCCCAATCTTTCTGCTGGCTTTTCTGATTTTAAAAATAACATTATTAAGAGACTTAGAGTTTCATAAAATCAAATATAAACAAATTATCACAGTATTTTGAAATTGGTTTGTGCCTTTAAGATGAATCAAAGTATTTTTCTTTTCTGTCACTGTTTTTTCTTTCTTAGATTGTGTTGACTGCAGTAGACAAAGAAGTTGTCTAAATCTTTTAACCTTGGCTATTGTAATTAGTCCTTTGCAAAACAAAACCAAACAGATACCTCTGGTGCCATGTCTGAAATTAATAAAGTGCATAAGACTGAAATCCAGCAATTTACTTGATAAGTATCAACTGTTTTTTTCGTTGAGGAAAGTGGAATATGTGGACAGCTACTTTTATACCCTCTTTTTTACACACTTCAGTCCATATAGTCAGAGCAGTGATGGACTATAAAAAAAATCTCACTCAGACTTGTTCTTCAAGGGGATTACAGCCAAGCTGCTCCAGAAATCAGTTGTTCAAGCCAGGAAGAATATTGAAAGCTGACCATGGACAAAGTGGTTGGATTTGGTTTAAAATGCAATTAAAAAACCCCAAACAACCAACCATCTGATCTATTTCCTTTAGAGTTAAAGCCACTGTAATCTGGGAAACCTCATACTCACTCAGTTTTGTGGTATTACAGTGGGAGAAGAAATATGAGGGATAATTCCTTCAATAAGGTTCTAGGGAACAGAAGTGTATTTTATCTATATTCCAGCAGGGTCTTCACCTCCACTTGCCTCCTAAGGATCAGATTTTTGTCAGGAACCTGCATGGTACCAGGGAATTATCATGCGCTTTCTGTCTCCTAAACAAATCAATTGGCATTCACATTATGGCTAATATAAAGCACATGCACTCTGTTCTCTATTCGCACTTCCTTGCAGTAGGTAACAATCTGTGGCCATGTTCCTCTGGTTCCCCCTTCATCTTCTGGGAAACATCCTCAGGAGCACTTCCACACCCACCTCGACCTTCCACAGGCAATAAATATGTGTCCTTCTCCTTGTCCCATTAAAAGATGGTGAAAAACTGCTGCCTTTTCCATTGCTAAGGTCTCTTCTCCTGGCATTACATATGAGGCACTATTTCTCCTCAAATTGACTAACCAATTACCATGATCGTGTTAAACTTGTCCTAGCAGTTTTGTTTTCAATCTGTACATAATTTTTCCAGCTATATGAATTGGTGTGCTAAAGGATATTAGTTGTCCCTGCACAAGTTATCTTGATAGTATCCTTAGAGCATTTAATTTCTAGAAACACTAGTGCTGCTCCTAGGATTGCAGCAGATCACACTGTTACTTTAATATACTGTCATGAAGATTCAGAATGCAAAGCAAAGAGAAAATAAAACTAAGCAGTCCTTCCTGTACACACCTTAAAAATAATTTTTAAAAAGTGTGTAAATTTAGAAGTAGAATGCATTTTCTCTTAAGACCAGTGCAGAGTACTTTTTTCCTGTCACAAATCCAGCTTCCAGACTGCTTCAGGGAGAGGATTTGCCATTTGCACCAGTAAATCAGTAATATTTCCTGTACCTGTTATTGTGCAGTCCTTTGTATGTTAGTGCATATTGGCAATAAGTATTTTGATTGTCACTGGCATTTTCCCCCAAAAAAACTGTTTCTCTGGCACCTCCAAACCATAAAAGTTCCCGTGCTGCACTTCATACTTCTGCAGCCTCATGTGGGGCTGGCTGTAGGTGTTTCCACTGAGGATGGACAGAAAAGTGTGGCCCTGCAAGTTTACAGGGGTAAAATTTCAATCACCCTTTTACCATGCAGCCTCTGAGTCATGTGGTTGCTGGGTTCAAGCAAGGAGAAGCTGGGTTCAAGCAAAGAGAAGCTGCCAGCAGAGGCAGAAAGCCACAGAGACAGGAGGCTGTTCTCTGAGCCAGCTGGAAGCCTGTTTCCCCATGGCTGGATGGAGACCTTGTCTCAGCCACCCTGCCTGCACATAGGTCATCAAAAAGCAGCTACTGGAGTGCTTGGATTCTCGATTTCTCTCTCCAGTATTATTTACAAAATCAAGGAACAAAAACTGTGTAGTAATTTAAAATAAACCAAGATTAAAAAAACCCGAACAAACAAAAAGCATGATCCCAGATAAGAGTAGTACTTTCAGCAGGATCTAAATGTTTAGGGACCGGTGTGGCATTATCAAAAGTGAAGGACACAAGTTTAAAATTAGAATTGTACATTTAATTCATTTGAGCAAGATTCAAAGTTTTAGTCCAGAAATACACTAAAAAAATTATCCCTGCCCCCACCCTTCTACAGTGCTTGACAGCAGCTAATGTTTAACTGGCTAACAGGATCAGAGGAAGCAAGTTTGGTTCAGGAAGCATTGAAAAGACTGTGTGACAGGTAACTACCAGATTAATGTAAATACACACATGAATATGAGTATAAACACATAAGAATATATGAAACACGGAAGCATAGATAAGAGTATAAACATATTTTAGACTTCACTGGTTGCCTGGAGGATTAGAGCTCTCTGCAGAACATACTGAAAGGTCACCATCTCACTGCTTTTATCCACTGCACTTAAATGTGAAAAATAAAGAAAGTGATTTGCATCTTGTAGTTGAATGCTACTACTTTACGGGTCCTCCTGTTCTGTCATATGAATCAAGAAATGATGATTACATGGATTCAATTGTAAACCATAGTGATAAGACACCCCCTGAACACACGGCAGGAAAGAGACATAGAATTTTACATAGACTCATTAATCTGCAAATTTGAAAGTGACACAGGCTTCACAGTTAAATAAAAATCCTCTGCATTCAGCCAAGGTAAACCTTTGGAGTGAAAAGGAAGGAACTTCTTTTGGGGAATGAACGCATCCTTCTTGTGGGAGAAGTAAGAAATGCCATTTCTGCTTCACTTGGTGGGATAAGTTGAAAACAGGATATAAAAATAAGTGAAATTAAATGCAAGGAGACAGAGCAGGGTGTGAATGGCACCGCTTCTTCTTCAAGAACATCTTTATTTTGGAAACAAAGTGTCTTCTTTCAAGTGAAATTCCTTACAAGGAGTGGCTTCTTCTTGAAGTATTTTCAAACTGAAGTGAGTTGAGTGAGTCCTTCTGCTTCACCGAATAAAAAGGTAAACAACTCAGTTTTGGCACCATTAAGTTGCATTCACAGTCTATCATATTACAGAGACATTAGAAATGATGCACTGAATCATGGAAGTAGCAGCCTTTAAATGTCTCCTCAGTTTGGGAGCAAAAAGAAATAGGAGACGTGGGATTTGTCCTTTTGTTTTAGTTGGATATGAAAATGGAGACAGAAGCAGTTATAGCAGATTAGTATCCAGATACCAGCAAAGGAAACATATTTAGCTAAATTTATTCTTAAATATAAAAATGTGAACTATGTATTATCTGCAGATGGCTTGCAAAAGGAACTGCCCTGAATCATGTCAAGCCAGTACTAGGAAGAAAGAGTTTAAAAGAACTTTATTAAGGTTGCAATTCCAATTCATGATGATATGAATCATAACATTCTTTGATAAGATTTTAATGCCATGATCATATACTACATACATGGCTGGAGAACTTAAGACTTCATTTGCTTCAAATTACAAAGAATGCAAGAAGGCAAAGGATGGTCCTACCATGGAGGCAAGTGATTTTCTGGCCTAAAGGGACTAAATTTTATTGCTGCTCCTGACATTAAGCATCTAGCAGTGCTATGCAAATTGCTTAAAATAACTTGGCTACCTGTTGCTGTTGCTAACTTTCTATCCCAATAACTCAAGCAGTCAGATTTCAGAGGTACTGAGCACTTAGAGCTCTAGCTGAAATCAAAAGGAGTGATGCTCTGAGTCCATGAAAAATATTCTATATTCATAAGCAACTTCAACAGTCAAGTTGCACACTTCCAAAATGAGCACTTAGAATAAATGGACACTTTTTACCTTGGCCTTTCCACAGCTCAGCTTTCTAATGGTAAAATCAGGAATACTTCATCTCATAGTAGTCTACTATTTTGGAGGCACTTGAAGATACTGTGAGCACAATTGGAGATCCCGTGAGGAAATCCAATCACATCTCCAGAGCAGGACTGGAATACTGTTCAGTAAGTAAGGCCTACAGCTACACTTTGAGCTCTGCAGAGAAAAGCAGTGACAACACTATTGAGCAGCTGTCTATCTTGTGTGCTTAATGAGACAGTCCTGAGAGAAAAATGGCCTAAAATGCATAATTAAAGGCTGTAACCTAAATGATACGCTCAAAAAAATAAAAAAGGGCTGCATTAAGGTTATAAAAGCAATGTGACTTGGGGCAATTTTTAGCGTATTGGTGCTTGAATCTGTATTCCCATCATTCTTTTAAGATGAATTTTTTTTTAATTGAGTAATTAATACTAAACTCTGGTCTACTCTAAAAAAAAGTAATGATGCATTGATTTGATGAAATGCAGCATATTGCCCTTTAAAATGTGGGCACTACAAAAGAGTACACAAAGTGTATTTTTTTTTACTGAGTTTGCAGGACAAGGTTTAGGTATATCTGTGTTTAAGATTGTTGGGTTTTAGCACAAATGTGGGCTAGGATACTGTCTTGAGAGAAATTGCTGTGGCTTCTTGAAGGAGCAGTAGCAGACATGAATTTGTACATGAAACGAGGCATACAATTTCAGTGGCTACACCTAGTATCATTTACCCAATTAGTTTTATATTTTACAATGCTTATAACATTTTATAACATCAGCTTGGGGTAATGTGTCTCCCAACCCTGCATAGCAGTGACTTTGCTGAATTTACTCAGATGTTGCATGTACACAGATATTTGCAATTAAATACTTGCTAAAATTATTTGTAAGCTTAGGTGAAATTATTTTACCTGGCCACCAGCATTTTGTTCAGCAATTCTTTGCAAATAGCCAGTATAGGTGTTGGTCAGCCTGATCTTTTATTTTTGCTAAGCTGTTCTGTGCATCCAGGTTCCTTCATTGCTTTTGTCCATGTCTACAGTTTTCACAGCTCAGGTGGTAAGAATATAGTGGAGGCAGGGAAGAAGAAAGCACCTTCCTAAAATTTAGTCACTTTACTACATAAGAAATTGATTCAAGCATCTACTTTGTTTTCATACTAAGATGTTGCAAATCTGTTACAGCTAGAACAGTTCAAGATTTTTTTTTCCAAGACATCTTTTCAACAAAATTGCCATCTGGTCATTGAAGAAAAGTTAATTTATTATAAAAAATAACTAACTGAAGAATGGTTTATTTCCTTATTATGACACACAGCAATATTCTTTTTAATACCTCTGTAAATGTTCCATGAACTGTTATGTGACAGGTTCAGCAGCAACCTTGACTTCACATTTATACACCTCCTCCTCCTTCATCCTTTAACCAGTGATTTCTGCCTTCTCTTCTCCCCACCCCAGGCTGCAGCAGATCACCTCTTGAAGTGTGCTAATGCACCCTTTCATTTCTGTATGATGATCTTTTTCTGTCCCAGATTAGCCCCCTGACAGTACCTTGTATTGAAAGGCTTCAACTGATTTGCCTCAAATAGAAAAAGGTCCTGATTTTAGAGTGTTTTCCGATTTTAAAGTGTTAGACAATGCTGGTTCCACTTGCACAACAGGTGATCTTTTACACATTACTTCAGTTTTTTATGTTGCTGCTGAAGAGGAATGTCTTTACAATTAGATGAAATTGAAAAGCAATTACAATCAACCATGCCACCAGATGGAGCTTCTTTTCTGCCTTTCCTGGTGAAGGTGCTGAACCTATGGGACTGTAGCTGTATTTATAGTCAATGAAATAAAAAACACTCTTTCTATTTTTACTTCTGGTGATGCAGAACAAAGCATCCCTGCCTTCATAGATAGCTATTTCAGTGACTTCTGTTTGTATACTGTTAATGACAGCTATTGTGCCAGTCCTTTACTTTTGCAGCATTAGGCTGTGTCATGCAGTCTTGCTTCTTGTTCATGTACTTGAGAGTTTTCAAGTACAGGCTTACTTTGTAGAGCAGGACACTAATATTAAAGCAGCATTTCTGCTCTTTTTTCTTTCCTACTGTAACAACTATTAACATTCTTTAGAAAAGCAAATCTCTCTTTATTTCAGCCCACTACAAAATCTGTTTTATTCACTGAAATTCAACTCTGAAGTCTCTTTTTTGTGCTTTAGCAGTATTGTATTTTGTTACAGATATCTAGTCACTGGTATATATTTACATCAACTGAAGTTATGATGTTCATAAGTCATGAGAATCGATATAAATGACTGTCTCTCTTACAGGATATATTCTATCAGATACCTGTTTTACTATCTATTACCATAGCTGATAATTGAGGACAGACTGTAACTGAGGCTGTCCTTGGGAAATGCAGACAGTCAGGGTGGAATTTACTCCTTTTCTGACAGTTTAAAAAAATACACATTCAAGCATACAATTTTTAACACAGAATTTTTACAGCAAGATTGCTCCTCTGTTTTAAGCCAAGTGAAAAAAAACGGGACTGACGTACAACTTACCTGTCTTGTCTGCGATTGCTGGACTGAAAAGGTTGATCTGCATTTGCCAGCAGTTATTAAAACAGGCTGTATTGCACAACTCTGTTTTCCCAAAGGACAGGGAGGTATCTAAGCTGATGAGGTCAGGTTAGCATTTCGTTATGCCACGTCAAACGCAACTCTAAAGACCAGCAAGGTTTTGCCAGCCAACGTCATGAAGGTCCTTCTGATGAGCTGGCAAATTCTGTTGTCCTAGGAGAGACCAAATGAGTTCGTGCCACTATTGATTTTGAGTGAGTTACACACCTTGCTGCTTGTAACAAAGACAAACACAGAAATACAAAACAGAATTTATGTGGGTACAAGTTCATGTTGTTTTCCATTTTCATGTCTCATTTCCAATGGGTAAAAAAATCTAGAGATTTTTTAGAGAAGGAAGAAAGGAGAGGGGAAAATCTAATGTCTCAGGCATGTAATATTCATGTGCTAACAAAGAGGTGGTCTAAAGATGTGTTGTTTTGTCATATTTTATGTAGTTTCTAGGAGTATATTTTGGAGGGTATATCAAGCATTTGGAATTTTGGAGTGTCCTTAGACAAGAGGTAAACATATCTTCTGTCTGAATAAGTTTCTTTACAGAGTTTTAAGAAGACATTGGTTTTGGTTTTCTGAAGGCAGACTGCAAAGTGGCAGAGCAGGAGCAAAATCCAGCAATTTAAGAGAGACAGCAAGAAAAACTTAACTATTTTAATAGCCTAGCAATAGTTTTGAGGGTAGAATGCCCTTCATACCAACATACTCGGGGTAAGATGGAGCTTCTTTCTCACAGTAATCCAAAGCAATACTAGCATAATGTAGGGCAAGATTTTGATGCAAATTATATTTTTCCTAGATTGCAAAACAAAACCAACAACAACAAAAAACCCCCACAAAACCCCAAACAAACAAAACCAAACACAAACAAAAAGCCCCATAAACATAGAGGTTTTACATGTGAGAACCTGGATCCTAGTGTTCATCAGAAACTTTTGAAAGAGATGCGGTTCTGCAACTTTCTGGAGATTCACATTAAAACAAACAAAACCCCCAAAACAAAACCCTTTTCAACTCCTATACTGTCAATACATTTTGGAAGTTGAAACCGTTTTTTCTCACTGATAATCTGAACTTCTCCTTTTCATAGACTGTTTATTTGGGGTAAATTGTTGAAATGCAACAGTAAGTCTATAGGGAAGGCAGGATGACAGCTTGTATACAGGAGGGTTTTTTATCAGCATATAGTTTACTGACTGACAAACGCCTTAGGATTTTCAGTGTACCACAGGAATATAAAAAGTTTAGATAATACCTATAAGTATCAAAGGTATTAAACCAAATCTTGACACCTTTAAGAGCCGCAAGATCCAAGCAACACTTCAGAAATCATAGTGCATAGAAGATTTTGTGCAACATGGTTATGTCACAGTTAATGCCAACTCTACTCTGAATTTAGAATATTTTGTACCATTACTATATATTTACTTTTCATGAAGAATGGCCTTAATTTTATATCAGAGGCAGGGAAATCTTTGACCTACTGAAATCAATTACAAAACTCCATCTTCCAGGAGGTTAGCATTTCACCCAAATGAAGGGACATTCCTTGCCTTATTGCCAAATACTCAGTATTTGTAATTGAAAAGGATATTCAACATCATTATAGGAAACACACCCATTGCTGTAGTTCAGTAAGTATATTTTCCTGTATTTAAAGGAATCTCTACATCCCATAAGAAACATCAGATGAAAGTCTGCTGAGACACAAGAAAGAATATACAGCAGAGATCTCTAAAAGTGATTGTCTGAGCAACTCAAAGCTCTAAACGTTTGTGCTTACTGAGCATCCTGAAGAAATTACGTTTAAATCTTGGTATTTAAGATCTGGAAACTAAAGTAATCACTTCCATTTACTTGTTTCCATTTCAGTACTTTTCCCATTACAGATCTGATGCATGCCTTTTTGAAGTACAGCTGCTTGGTTTTCCTGCATAAAGAAGAAATTAGGTCTGATAATCTAACTTCTGAATAATTTCTATTCTAGTTGTATGGGCCCACTGAGATTTTCATTCAGTGTTGACCATCCTCATAAATGCAGTAAACTGAAATCCCATCCTTATTAGAAACACAGAGAAGTTAAATTTTCTGATGGGATAGGGAGCATTTTGCTTTTTGTTAAAAATAATTGAGAAGGCTATTAATATCCTCGCTGACATTTTTGTAAAAGGAACATGACTGTTAAAACTGGGACGAAGAACTACATAATTTTCAAAGTGAAACAAGTACGAATGCTGCTAGCATTTGGGAAAAGATGGTATTAATTTTGTGTGTGAACTGTGATAATCCCTGCATATTTCTAAATCCCTGTAAATTGTTTTATAGTGCTTAGCAGTTATGACTCATTCACATTTTCTTATAAGCTTATATTCTTTCATGGGGGATTGTCCTACAAAAGACTTAAGCGGGAAATTGGAGAGATGTCGCATATTTGAACTAGGTACATCCAAAAGTAGAATACTTTCCCCTTGGACTAACTGGGAATTTTACTAGTTTTGGATTTGAAGGTTGAAGCTAATATTAAAGGTGCATTAAAAGAAATGATGAACAGTATTTGAATGGGCTTCAGTATTACATTATGTGGTTGAATGGAATCCACAGAATCCTCTCCAGTTAATTGACTCTGGGTGTCTGCAAACAAATATTTTAATGTTCATTTTGTTTTCAAATGATGACAACTATTGATCTAAGCAGCTTGATCAATTTATTAATCTGCATAGCAAATAGAGCTCCAAACCAAAATCTCCAATCTAATGAGAAATACATTCCCATGCAATCATAGTGAGAAAAAACAATACCATGGATTGCTTACCAGTGATTTTTGCATTCTTTTTTAAAATTTCATTTTCAGTTTTCTTCTGAGGATGCAAATACTCCTACAAGAAGTGTGTGTTGAATGCAGGATGGGATCAAGGTGGGCAGTTGGGAAACAAGATGGGGTGAAATGAAAGGTGGTGCTGTGTTGATCCTGTGTGTAGTTTATGACCTTAAACACATCTGGTCCAAGCTCAGGGAATGCAAAATGCCTCCTGACTGCAAATATGCTCTCTCTCTCTCTCTTAATAAGAAATCTCTCTGCTTTTATCTCAACATCTTCTTTAATAACAAATGTGGTAAATTAGAAGCCTGAGATCCTGGTTGCCCTGTTCTTTTAAGAGAAGCCATTTCGAAGTATGTAACTTATCTCCTTAACTAATAACTCCTTAACTAATGTCCTCTGGCATGGTATGTTGCACAGGTGAACATCTGTTCTACAGGTTTATCTGACTTTAAATTACCCCTTTCAAAATGGTAGCAATTCATTCCAACTAAAAATCCATCTTTGTATGCCTTTAATTGCCTGATTTTAATTATTTTCCTGCAATATGCATTCGTGTTGCCTTAACTGCTTTTGCTTTATTTCTGTGAATGGTGGTTCTTTTTCGAGGCCTGTCTCCCAGAGTTATGGAACATATAAGAAATGTGTATTAATTGCTATCCTATGACTTAACTTTTATCAATATTTACAGTTGGTTTCGCTTTTTCCTGTCCTCTATTTTGCCTTAACCTTTCACATTATTCTGTAATTTCTAGTAGTCCACATGGTTTTTGCCTTATGAGCAAACAGCAGATTTTTTTCCCTTTGCTGCTTAAAACATTTGTTAATGATTTGGCAAGCTGGGAAAGCTTCCACAAGAGGAAGTAAGGACTGGTTTCTTCCTTTCTGTTTTCCTCACCATAAAATAGATAACACTTCAAGAAAATAAAGTGGTAGTGTTGTATTTTATGAAAAGGATCTAGAACATACTGTAAGTACTAAGCACCCCAATCTAAACATCATCTATCCATTTATTTTTCCTTCCAGCTTGTTAATTTTGAGGTGCCACAAGCCTCAGATAGGTGAGTCATGAGGTCTCGCTTCCAGGGACAGGTGAGAAAGCGCCTGCATTGCAACCTGTTTTCATCACAGTGAATGTTAACAGGAGAGTGGCCCAAAGTTTTTGTCCCCTGCTCTGTTACAGCCACTGGCAGGTCGGAAGTGATGGTGAAAGCAGCTGACACCAGCACCTTCCCTGTCAGCAGGAAGAAGACAATCCTCTTTCTTGTGTTCCTCTTTCTTGTGTTGCATCACAGACCTCAGATGAGTAATTCAGGACCATGCTCTGGGGTTTAGTACCATTAATTTGAGACTGGTTAGTTCAAAGAGCTGAAATAGTGGCACACCAGCTCACTTGGAGAGGATTAGGCAAAGAAATGCTCCTATGAAGGGGGGCAGCTCGCAGCAGAGTGCTGGTGATGAACAGTTAATGGCAAAGTGGTGTTTGTCATGTTTTCTATTAGCACAGTGGGTGCTAGCCAGAATGTTTGTCCTTCGTTCCTCTTCTTACAATGCTCCAAACCAAACTACAAACAAATATTGAGTAATCAGATTATCTGGCACCTCTAAGTAACATTTCGCTGTTCAGCTCTTCTGTCAAGGCGTAGTAAGAACATCCTCACAGCAGTATCTGCTAAGAAAACTGTTTGGTGGTGTTTCTGCTGCTTTGATATTCATTCCTCTGTGAGACCCAGACTGCACACTCAGTTGAACTGCACTGTATTCACTCACACTGGGAGGCTGCTTTTTGGAAACCAGATTGATGCTAAAAATAAAACAAACTATGCAAAACGAACAAAAAACCCCTCCTTGCTATCCTCCCCATCCATAGTGGGAGTATACTGCTTCAGAAAGCATCGTGTTATTTGCATATGCTTTTTAGTGTCTTTTCCACGAGAAAAAGAATGGAGGGGAGTTTAATAATGTAGTATTTTTGCAATCATCCATGCAAATCACCCCCAGACAATACTGCGGCACACACAAAGTATAGAACCATGTTTGGAAACTTCTCAGATATGGATCTCACCGTACTAATAAAAGTATCTTGCTATGAGGATGCTGTTTACTATGCATCACGCCTAGAAAATAAAACTGAGGGATTCTACTTCTCTTTATTCGATTAAAAGGTAATGCCCGTATTTTGATTTTCCTCCTTGATTTTTTAATTGGAAACTTTAACGATAGTCTGACCTTCTAAGAGGGCATGTGTGCACACGTGTGTGCCTCAGCCTTTGGACTCGATTTTCCACGGGTACTGTTAGTACCGAGTGTGGGTAAAAAATAAAGAGATCGGCTTAAAAAAATGTATCATACTTTAAAAAGTTAATGCCTTCGGAGTTTGTTTTACCTTTGGGGTTTTGTCCTGGAGCTCTGGTCTCAAAGCTTTTTCGCTGCAGTTAGGATGGGTGGAAACCAAACTAAACACAAAAGCCAGGGGTCTAAGCCATGAGTCTCACAAACTCCAAGCGGCTCACGGGCAGGACCCCGCGCTACTGACGCCCAGGCCGGCGGCAGGGCGGCGGCTCAGCCCCGGTCCCGAGGGGCC